CACCGGACAGCATGATCAACGCGTCGTCGGCTGGTCCCAGGCGGAAACGCAGCCAGAGTATGGAGCGTGATGCCGACGAAGATAAGGGATTGCTCAAGACCCCTCACCGACAAAGAAGTCGCAGTTTAAGTCATGAGCGAATTGCGCATCGCGTGGCAGAAAAGCTCACCGAGTCACCGCAAGAGGCTTCGAGCGGCAGACACAGAAGCAAGGGCGGCAAGGATTACCTCGAAGCCGAAACAAAACCATCCCGTCGCCGAACGCGCAAGTATGCGGAAGAGGATGTCACCAGTCCTGACTCTAGTATTCTCAGCACATCGGGAGTCTCTTCAAACCGCAAGTCCGATCAGTACTCAGTTCGCTCCGGTGCATCCAAATCCTCTATCAACAATCCAAAGTTACTCGAGACGGTTGAAGATGCGATCAGAAGATTAATTCTACCGGAGCTAAAGGAACTCAAGAAGGACCAAAAAGTAATGACCAACAAGAACAAATTCGATCGGGACGTGGCTACATCTCATTCGTCTGGCACGAGCTCCAGAGATGAGCTAGGTCGACGTCTCTCCAAGCACGCCAGTGCGCCGGATGTTATGCCCCAAGTTGTTCTGAACAAGAATAGCAAAGACGAAGGCATTGTTCTTTCTCCCGAGGCGGCCCCACGCAGTAAAGAGGTCAAGGAAGTGAAGGAGGTCAAGGAGCGTAAACCAAGCAAAAGCAGCGAAAGCTCCGAACTGGCGATGAGATGGGCCAATCGACCCGACTTCACCGAACAAGACAAGATCCGCAGGCAGAAGAGCAAGGGTCTCCGCGACGCCCATGCTGCTGCCCGAGTTGGGTCTGCTCTTACGGCAGCTTCTTTGAAACACCACGATTCGAACTCTAGTCTCGGCAGAAATGATCGCCGCCGAGATAGTGGCTCTCGGAAAAGTTCACGCAAGAGTACCGAGAGTATGAACTATAACGAAACCGAGCTTGTTTTCCAGAAGCACAATGTTGCGCCAATGCCAATGCGCAGCGAGATGGACTCCGAGTTGACCAGAAACTCGCTACTCTCGGAGCGAACGGCAAGTCCCACTCCCGAAAAACAAACCTCTTATTTCGACACTACTCGCGGATCGCCGAGGCAGGCCATGTCGCCAGCTTCTCGCACTCCTACTAGAAATTCTGCCGACTCGCGTTATGGGCTCGGAATGCGCCATGGCAATCAGTCGCAACATAATATTTCGGTGCACAGTGCTTCGGAGCGCGACCTTCATCACCAGAGCCAATCCCCTGGAACCGATGGTGGTAACCGGGCAATTGCAGCTGCAGCCGCAGCTAATCTCCTTGATGCTGCTCACCCCGGACATCATGAAACGGAAGATGACTATCACAATGGGACCAACAGCCGCGGACTGAGCCCCATTCAGAGTCTTGCAAGTGATCATACTGGAATTCGCCACGATCATTACTCGACTCACAGTGATCAGCATGTCGACGGCAAACATGAGATGGAGCCTCGACTCTCCATAGACTCTCTGTCATCCGCCCCCAGTACAAACCTCGCGAGATCCACTCGTCAGGGCACTAGCTCACACAGCCAGAGTGCAATCTTTAAGCAGCACAGCCAGGAATCACCTGGGCTCGGATACGAACATTCGCGCCAGGGCTCCCAAGACGATGGCTTCTATGGCTATGACGAGGAGAGCAGACGCTCTCACGACGATGGGGATAGCGATGTTGACTTCATGGAGAAAGTCAAAGAAGGCCACCGTGTGACTACCGGTGCTGCTGCCAATCCCCAATTTATGCACCCGATGCCCGTCGAATCTGCAGTCGCTTCCTTGATGGATCCATCTGTCCTTGATTCTCATGTCTCATCGAACCGCTCGCAAACAGATCTAAGTCAACGACCAGGCAACCGAAGCCCTGAAAAGCCAGGAAGCGAAGTTTATCGCGGAAGTCCTTTGAAGCAACGCCAGGATGCTTTCACTGCCGATGAGACCTCGTTCCCCCGACGCATGGGTGCCACATCGCCCCCTCAGAGCGTTACCCAGTCTTTGGACGATATCGACGACTCTGCTATGATGGATGCCAATGTCCCACATGAAAAGCAAAGTCCTCACACGGATGCTGAAAGCCAAGTCTCAGAGTCTGAAATCAACACCAACCCGTCCATTATACAGGGCCCCATTGGTGGTGTCGCTCAGGCAGAAAACTGGGGATATGATTCAAGATCTCCGCCACCGGATCACTACTACGATACCCAGATCGGCGGATCTAAGGGTCTCAATGCCGAGCAGCAGATAGGACTTGATGCGGAATACTACCAGACTGCCCAGAATATCTTTGGCGGTGATGACTACTCTGCCCACTCTGGCGACAACCAGGCCCGGCAATCGTTTGGTACCCCTCCTGGTGCCAAGGACGAAGGCTACGTTTCGGCTGCCAACCCTATGTCTCCTAGCATCGGGACCCCGAAGCAAGCTAGTCGAGGTCTTGCCGGCGCGGATGCCGCTGGAATGGGTAGTTTCGATAGTTCTGCCGGGGCAGACGATCCTTTTGCCTCTGGTAATGAGCGCCACTTCAGTGGCTACTCTCACGGTGTTGGCTCCCCACTCTACGACAGTGCTACCGGCCGAGGCATTGAGAGAATTCAGTCCCAGGACATTGTGGCTCTTATGGATCATTTGACTGTTCGAGACGCCCAGCGGAATGCCAGAGATACCGAGATTCTGATTACTTTGGTCCGAAGTGCTGCTGAGATGCGCACTTCCTTTGAGCAGATGAGGAGATTCATCGCCGACCAAGATGATCTCATCATGGACGTGAGTGACAGGGGACATGAGCGGACTCACAGGGCGCTTGGTGGTCCGCGACCATTACCCCCCAGTGGTTCTCGGACTCGGCAGCTGAACGCTGAAGAGGAAGATAAGCGGAAGAACATCTTCAAGCGTGCGCTCAAGGGATTGAGTCTCAAGTCGGGCAGTGATTTGACCAAGATTGAGGGCATGCTCGAGCACCTGCTTGACGAGGTTGAGGCCCTGCGATCCGGACAAGATGGCCTAAGCCCTCACGGTGGTACCAGAATGGGAAGCATAGAGCCAAATGGGTACGAGACTCCTGGTCCGAATGGTGTACCTACTGAGACGAGCCGCTCGCCCTACGGGTCCGGCTCTTCTCGTCCAGCCAATGCGCAGCGCAGAAATTCGGACCAGCGAGTCAGCACCGTCCATGAAGTTGACGAAGACCTTGAGCTTGACGAGGGTGACCAGTTTCTGACTTCACATCTCCCTGTCCGCGATGCGCCCCATCATGAGCGGTCGGGTTCATTGCCGCTTGACACGCCCCCACGCAAGCCAGTAACCACGTCAGCTCGTAGCACCGAGACAACCCCCAAGGCTCGCAAGCACAAGTCCAGCAGCTCGTCCATTTTCCCGAAGATCTCGCGCTGGTCTAAGTCCACGGCGACCTCCATGGGCGACGGTATTCGCAACAGCATCCAGCCTTCCCGCAAAGAGCGTCCGACCTCGGATGAGTCTCGGTCTGGATCTGATCTCGCACCCCAGGGAGCGTATCATGATCCCCAAGGGGATGACAGAATCCGATCCAATTATACCTTGAACGAAGAGCAAGATGAGAACAGACCTCCTTCACCGCTAGTGCCTTCCCAGGTGTCTGAGGCGCCCAAATACCGCGGCCACCGTGGAAGTCTCGAGCTGCAGCACCCCCAGCCTCGGCAAGGCCCAACCGCCCGTTACCAGTCCCGCCTCGAAACCGAGGCCCAGGTCTACGGAGGCCCGGTTTCTCCCACTGGCTCAGAACAGTGGGATTCCAACCCCAGCCTGGTCAACCCTTCCCAGAACCGCAACAGCGGTGCCGCGCGCCTGTCCCCGATCTCCGACGCAGGCTACTCGGAGACCAGCTCCCAAGCAACCCGTACACCAGGTCCACCCCGTCCTCCTAAAATCCTCGATTCGGGTCCTCTCATTCCCGAGCGTCAACCCAAAGCGACGGATAACGAGGAACCAGCTTACAGCGGTGACCGTGTTGTTTCTAGAGTATGTATTCCCAAGGATCCCCACTACCGTTTCAGTTGAACAAGTTCTAATCTCCACTCTTCAGAGCTCTGCCGTCTGCTCACCCCCCACTCGCAAGCCAACTGGCCCGCGTCCCCTTGCATCTGCCGGCTCCTACAGCCCAGGCAATATCAAGCGAACCCGCTACCGAGGCAGTCCCGTGCAAATCGACTATGACGATGAGTAGTATTGAGACTTGCATTGTGATACCCCTGGGTTGATGTTTTCAATCTCCATTTCCATCTAGCGCTTTTGCCTTTTCTTCTTGCTCTTTCCTTACGACAGTTATGACCGTTCCCTGGGACTCCGGTTTCAGTTCCGTTAACCCTAAATCTATGAGCAATGTGTGTGCATGTTTAAATGTCTACAATATTTCCTGCCTTTATGTTTTATGTCAATGGCCATGAGATGAGCGGGAAGTTATGTCTTCTCTTCGCCTCTCTGACTTTTTCCACTCTAAGTTTCTCTGCTTATTTTTCATGCTCTTGCTTCCGGCATGCAGCTACTCTCGCGCGTCTACTAAGCGTGAAGCCTATTCTTTGTAGCTTTTGTGTTGTGGTGTAGATAGTGGTGCAGAAGAAGACAGAATATATTACAAGTTCGAGGTGTGGAATTATCTTTCGGTTCTTTTGTACCTTTCTGTTGATGCCAAGGGATATGAATGCCAAAGGTTGGTTCTGTATATGCTCGCTAGTGTAGTTTCGAGCGATTCTCTTCTAATAATCAATTCGTAATTCGCATCTCTTCTTCGTCTTGGAGGATGTCTCTGGCGTATCTCCTTACGCATTATGCATAAGCCAAATTGAGGTCTGGTCACGGGCCGTGCCGGTGTGTAGATCAAGGGGCCACCTTCCGTCACTCATCTATCGTTATCTCGACATTCCCATCCATATTTCGACATAAATCCAACGCTCTATAAGAAAAACTGACGTTATCTCAGAGATGCTCTCGTCTTTTCTTAAGTCCTTGCCCCGGCTCGGAAGAAGATGGACACCTCTCAACTTCACCAATCAGAATTTCACTCGGATACCAACGAGCCATGCAATCGAGGAGGAAACTATCCCAGGCTATGTTGCTGGTCGGTATTATCCTACTCGAATGGGGGAAATACTCAAGGACCGATACCAAGTTGTGGGGAAGCTGGGGTTTGGAGTCAGCTCAACCGTGTGGCTCGCACGTGATATAGAGTAAGACGACGATACCTTTACAACTCCTTCACTCACTGAAAATATAGCTATCGTCGCTATGTCACTCTTAAGATTTTCATAAAGTCCACAACGATGGGCCAGCAATTGGATGACGAGCTGAAGATATACAAACGTATCGAAAGCGCTCCCCGGAATCACGCAGGTCGCAAGTATGTTAGATCTCTGCTGGACTCCTTTGATATCAGTGGACCTGAAGACAAACATCGATGTCTCGTGCATCCCCCGTTGTGGGAGAGTATGTTGGATTTCCTGTTCCGCAACCCGGTGCAGAGACTACCAACACCGATCTTGGCAGTGACGCTTCATCGTCTATTTCTTGCATTAGACTATTTGCATACAGAATGCAAGATCATCCATACTGGTGCAATTTTCTTTCCCCAGTCTTGAGATCGATCATTTGCTTATCAATATATCAGATATCAAAGCAGATAACATTATGTTCGGCATTGCTGATGATTCCGTTTTCAGAGATTTTGAAAACGATGAGCTTCAAGATCCTTGTCCTAGGAAGGAGTTAGATGGAAGGACAATCTATACCTCCAGCGTGCTTAGAACGCCTAAAGACGTAGGCGCGCCTGTCCTCTGCGATTTCGGCTCGGCTGTGATGGGCGACGAACAGCACACCGAAGACATTCAGCCGGATATATATCGAGCACCGGAAGTGATCTTGCAAGTTCCATGGTCATATAGTGTCGATGTATGGAACGTGGGATGTGTGGTAAGAAAGCCTATACTTCTGATGCAAAAAAGTGAAGTTTTAGGCTTACGTTGTCAGATTTGGAACCTTTTCGAAGGGGGATCGCTGTTTAGCGGCCAGGACCCAGAGTTCAAGACTTATAGGAGTCGAGCTCATCTTGCCGAAATGATACGCCTGCTCGGTCCGCCACCGCCAAACTTCCTTGCCCGGGGGAATCACACGAAAAAGTTCTTTTCAGAGGAAGGTAATTCATCTATCTGTCATTTTCCTACCTATGACTAGAAAGTGTCAATTATTGACTGTTTCTGCTATTCTAGGTGACTTTCTCATTGGAAAATTAGTAGGAGAACACGTACCAATCGAGCAAAGGGAGACTAGTCTCGAGGGAGAGGAAAAAGAGATGTTTCTTCGCCTAGTGCGGAAAATGCTACAATGGGAGCCCGAAAAGCGAAGCTCTGCCGCGGAACTCGAACAGGACGAGTGGGTGCAAACAGAATTACGTAAATAACTGCATGTCCTTCAGAGTGTACTAAAAGAACCACACAGAGTGCGAAGCGCATGCGAATACACCGATATCCCCACTCCGCTCATACATGGAGAAGTCTCCCCTTTAAGCCGTGACGCGTCTAGGCAGTCTTTTAGGGCATTAGCGGACCTGCAGCGGCGATCCATTTGCATTATGACGACAATTCCGACATCCGATTCCGAGTAACGATTTCCCTTGAATACAAATAGATAATGAGCGGTTTGAGTTCCAAGGATTGTGTTCGGCGTCTCGGTATCTCGGGGCTCGGAGTGGGTCCGCCATCCGAAGTATGCAGTATCCCGAGAAATCTCATGGATCGGCTTGTGTCACTCAAATTTGATGTGTGGCGATCCGAAGCTGCCGCCGTGAAGACTCCTAAAGGGATATTTAAGCTGGCTAAATTACCAAGGGCTGCCCTGGTTCAATTGCACTTAACACATACACAACCTCCATCTACGAAGACATATTCACAATGGCCAGCATTGAACCTCACCTCTGCTTCCGGTCATTTGTCGAAGCCTTGAAGGCCGACAATGATCTGGTTGAGATCGACACTCCAATCGACCCCAACCTCGAAGCAGCCGCTATCACTCGTCTTGTCTGTGAAACGAACGACAAGGCCCCGCTCTTCAACAACATAATTGGTACTGAGAAGGGTCTTTTCCGCATCCTAGGTGCCCCTGCATCTCTGAGAAATTCCTCAAAGGATCGCTATGGTCGACTTGCACGACACTTGGCCTTGCCACCGACCGCATCTATGCGCGACATCCTCGACAAGATGCTCTCGGCTGGCACCCCGATCCCACCCAACATCGTGTCTACCGGTCCTTGCAAAGAGAACTTCCTCGAAGAAAGCCAGATTGATCTGACCAAGCTGCCTGCGCCTCTGATTCACCAGGCTGATGGAGGAAAGTACATCCAGACGTACGGAATGCACATTGTTCAGTCCCCCGATGGATCCTGGACTAACTGGTCTATTGCCCGTGCTATGGTCTCCGACGATAAGCACCTGACCGGTTTAGTCATTGAGCCTCAGCACCTCTGGCAGATCCACCAGATGTGGAAGAAGGAAGGCCGCGACGCCCCTTGGGCTCTGGCATTTGGTGTTCCCCCTGCCGCCATCATGGCCTCGAGCATGCCCATCCCGGATGGTGTGTCCGAGGCGGGATATGTCGGCTCCATGACTGGATCCGCCTTGGATCTGGTAAAGTGCGATACTAACGATCTCTACGTGCCTGCCACCTCTGAGATTGTCTTCGAGGGTACCCTTTCTATCACGGACAAGGGTCCCGAGGGTCCTTTTGGTGAGATGCACGGCTATGTCTTCCCTGGAGATGTCCACCTGTGTCCCAAGTACAAGGTCAACCGCATTACCTACCGCAACGATCCCATTATGCCCATGTCATCTTGCGGTCGACTGACCGATGAGACTGTAAGCCATCCATCTCCATATTTCCGGATCCCTACTAATAGTATTAGCATACCATGATCGGATCACTGGCCGCTGCCGTGATCCGCAAGATCTGCCAACAAGCCGGTCTCCCCGTAAACGACGCCTTCGCGCCGTTCGAGTCCCAAGTGACCTGGGTCGCCCTGAGAATCGACACCGCAAAGCTGCGGGAAATGAAGACGACCCCGAAAGAATTCTCCAAGAAGGTCGGCGACCTGATCTTTAACTCCAAGGCCGGATACACTATCCACCGGCTGGTGCTTTGTGGCGATGACATTGATGTCTATAATGGCAAGGACGTGATGTGGGCTTTCTCGACTCGCTGCCGTCCTAACCTCGATGAGATCTTCTTCGAGGATGTGCCCGGGTTCCCTCTTATTCCATACATGTCCCATGGAAACGGATCGCCAGTGAAGGGTGGAAAGGTTGTTTCTGATGCTCTTCTCCCCTGTGAGTATACTACCGGGAAAAATTGGGAGGCCGCCGATTTTGAGAGCTCGTATCCTGAGGCGGTCAAGCAGAAGGTTTTGGCCAACTGGACGAAGATGGGATTCCGGGAGGAGTAAATCAAATGTATATAGTACTTTGTTACCTCAAATGTAGATTGGAATTTTGATAAATACAGTATATAAGCTTTTTTAGTAATTCGGGTATATCCCCGGGGCCATGGATACTTGTCAAGCAACCATGGCCGGCCCCGTACCGGTGTAAGCCCCCGTGTAACCCGAAGTGGGCAGTTCTGTCAAGGCGGAAACCCAACCCGACCTGCGTTTCGCCCTACATCGCTCAGTTTAGGCCATATTACCCTATACCAAGCTCGGATGCGTGTTATTGTATTGAAAGAGTCACAACCTTTCAAACGACACAGCTTCTTGGCCAATACAACAACCCCTGATAATCCCGGTACCTCGGAGTCCTCGGCAGCATGAGCGCCGTCAGTCAAAGCGAAGCAGACCGGGTGCTACACCTCAAGAGCCGAGAGCGAGAGGCTCATGCATGCTACACATGCAGAAAGCGGAAAGTCAAATGCGATGGAAACCAACCATGTCGTACTTGTCAGAAGCGAAAACACCCCGAAATCTGCACCTACGCCCTTGCACATTCGAGGCGCAGATCGGCTTCTCGCCACAGTGTCGCTCGCTCGGCTTCGCCCAGATCACCGGCCGTAGCAAGCAACGAACAAGCACGGCCTGATGATAGTTCGAAAAATTATGTCTATTCTGGTGACAATTCGGTTGTTTCGATCCTGCGCATGCGAGCATCGGACGTCAATGGATCGGTGGCCCGCGATGTTGGATCTGTTCTTGGTCTGCAGAATACCTTCAGCAATTATATTTTTATGGATTCGAAGACGCCGCTTGAGAGGTGGAAGTCACTGCTGACTGTAATGCCTCAGAGATCAGAGGTCTTGAAGTAGGTTGCAAACAACTAAAAAGGAATACGGCTGACTGGTTAGATTCTTTCACTTTTATCGTGTCACAGCATATCCATTCAATCCAATACTCGCTGACATAGACCGCTTTGAATCTGATTTATGCACCTATCTCAATGCTCACGCATCTGGTGAAGTACGCGACCCGGAAAAGATCACTGATCGCTGGGCAACCGACAAGTCTATTGGCCATATCAGCCTTCTACTAGCAACATTGGCGGCAGGGGCGCATTACTCCGATACTGAATACCCCGAACGCTTTGAACTGTCAACTGACTTTGGTAAGCTTCATCGCACGCTCATCAAGCTTGGCTAACGGTATCCAGCCCGTCGATCATTTCATGCTCTCCGCTTGGCCAATTTCCTTTTCCGACCATCACTAGATATTATACAAGCGCTGCTTATCTTGGGGAATACGCTGCAGAATATGGGACAGTCCGACGCCGCCTGGGCGTTACTGGGAACGACGATCCGATTAGCTCAGACTATGGGCCTACACACTGAAAGGAGTACTGTTCACTGGCCGGAAAATGTGAGAACGAAGGCCAGGAATCTTTGGTATGGAAATCAGACTATATGCATACCTACTCGACAACTAACTTCCCACAGGTCAACAATTGTCTGGCAGGATAGTTTACTGTGCCTTTGCTATGACCGACCGCCTATTGTCTCCGTGACTGGCTGGTCTCCCGTTAACTCGTTTTTCGAGAGACAAGACTTGTCCTTCGCAGAAGTGATGTACTTTATCTGTCGTATTGGTCTAGATACTATGCGACCGGAAAGCCTCAGCGTCGCTGAATATGAACTAGCAATAGAAGGGTTGCGTCAGCTAGATTATGCTCATCAACGCGGTCTACCACATCTTCGATCACGGGAAAATTGCACAACACTACAACAACATCTCGAGCATTTAGCTCTTAGAATGCACACCTCCTTTTGTGTATCGGTTCTCTGCCGACCGGCCATGAAGCAGTCCACCCCACAGCCTTTTCTCCACCACGCTGATATTCTTCGGGCGCGTGCCAAAGGAAGCTTGATCGATGCTTCCAGGGCATTTCTTGATTTTCAAGCTCTAAGTACTGTTCCATTGCGGACCTGGTCAATGGTGCATACAGTGTTGAGTTCGACCCTGCTTCTCTGCATCTGGGAAGAGACGCGCAATGACCCCGAATGTCGCAATCTTCAACAGAAAGTCATCGACGTCTTCTCATCGTCTAATTCAGGAACTAATGACGATGGTGCTTCTTCATCTGAAAGTGATAGTCAGTGGTTATCGGCTCGTCACATCCGAGCCTTGGTGACTTTACGAAGCGCCTTGGATCGAGAGCAGGAAACGGGCGCTACCGAAACAGAGAACTGGGCAGAAATGACCTCGAATATGGTGCCGCAATTTGGTCCTGGGTAAGTATCCTGCCCGTAGTGAAGATGGATGCTCACATCTGAACAGGCCCATGGACATGCCCAACCCATTCGATGTATCACCTGTCACATATTTGGACTCGATCATGAACCGTAAGCACGGTTTGCCTGGTTTCTATTAACAAAAGCTGACATCTCACAGTTCCGGTGTTTGATTATACACAGGAAAATGGATTTCTGTGAGAACCTTAAAGCCGATACCCTGCGTGCGGTCATAAGGGCCAGACCTAGATCAATTACGTTTTCACAAAGCATAGGCACATACAGTAATTACCCATGCAGGCTTTCTTGCAGATCCTCCCATCGATCTTTCCCTAAATAAGTGGCGCCACTGTGTAATGGCCCTCCGCAAAATCATCGGCTCTCGGCCTCGGGGCCTCGGACGACTCCATTCGGAGTCTCTAAAATCTCAATGACATATTCTCCTGTTTTTCGGGCCATGCGATAACTTCTAGTAAGAAACCCTGCGCAACATGAATATTCGGCATCTTGCCGTAGATTAATATAAAACAAGCCAGGGTTGCTAGGCTCAGTTCATTCATCACACCTGTCTTCACAGCTCCACGCATCACTCAACAAGACTGAAATAACACCTTCAACAAACCTCAAACCAATGCTTTCTCTTCTCTCTGGAACCCAAACCCCATCTTCCAGTCGCCATTCCCCCGGAGACAGTCCAACTGAAACAGCCATGCCAGCCATCGATCAAGCCCCTCAACAAACCCGACGCAGACGCATCGTGGTCGCAATGACCGGCGCAACGGGCGCAATTCTCGGAATCAAAGCGCTCATTGCCCTGCGTCGTCTAAACGTGGAAACCCACCTGGTCATGAGCAAATGGGCCGAAGCGACCATCAAATACGAAACCGACTACCACCCCTCGAACGTCAAAGCACTAGCAGATCACGTCCACAATATCAATGACATGGCAGCGCCGATCTCTAGCGGATCCTTCAAAACCGATGGCATGATCGTTGCTCCATGTAGTATGAAGACACTGGCTGCTATTCACAGTGGTTTCTGTGATGATTTGATCTCGCGCACTGCGGATGTCATGTTGAAAGAGAGACGGAAACTTGTCCTCGTTGCGAGGGAAACACCGCTTAGCGATATTCACCTGCGTAATATGCTGGAGGTTTCCCGTGCTGGTGCGATCATCTTCCCGCCGGTGCCGGCGTACTATATCCGGCCTGCGTCGGTGGACGACTTGGTTGATCAGAGTGTGGGGCGCATGCTGGATCTGTTTGATTTGGAGACAGGGGACTTTGAGAGATGGGAAGGATGGCAGACTCAGAAATGAAGGCCAGAGCTGGGTTGGTTCGTTTTGTCTTGCATTTATTGGCGTTGATATAGACTGGTGTACTCGAAAATTTACAGTGCTTTCCATCGACGTCAGCTTTCTATTCCCCTCATTAGATCGATATCGAGTTCAGGGTAAGTCCTGAAACTGGTGAATACAGCCGATATCCTGAATTACTTCCTGGTATGTCCCATAGTAGTCACGCGGAAAGTTACTAATTTCCAAAACCCGGCATTACTCTACCCGCCCTGTATCCGGTGGTTCCTTCCAGATCAACGAGTATAACAATTGGGAAGGCGAAGAATACCAAAAAGGAAGGAGCTACTCCGTAGACACCCCCGAAGTCGGCTCTTTCCTCGGGAACTCGGAGACTTCGGAGGCTTTGGAACCTTAGAACCTTATAATTGTTCCCGCGGCTCCACTTGCCTAACCCTTCTTCAACCTCCTTTCTCTCTATTGATGTCTAGTATCAGGCACACTGCTCGTTCCATCATGTCTGCTATTGCCTGCAAACATCTTCGTCCGCGAAAGTTCGCACCTCTCGGTGTGGAGACGTCATCTATCCCTCTCCTGAAGGGAATTGTGTTTGATGTGGATGGGACCTTGTGGTGAGTCATTTTTTATTCTTTCTCTTCCTGATACTTTATATATGTGCTGTAGTTATTTCCCTTGTTGTATGTTTGCTATTTGCGTGCACCCTCGAGAGCTGGTATCTACATCTTGAGCTATTATTTGGAAGTGGCCGGCCTGGGGGCAAGAAATGAGGATTGAGGCATCAATTTGAGATTCAGGCAGAAACGATTTCCTATTCAGGAAAATATACCTGCTTGCGCAGGTTAGATGATAAGCCGGTCTGGGACGTAGTAGTTGAGTGGAGGCGTTCCCTTTCTCTTCGGGCTTTATATCGTATTCCATCTTTTTCGTCTTGTTGTTTTCTATCTGGTATTGGGGCGATTCTCATGATACCAAGCTCTGATCGTGTTATCAACAACAGTATATTGACCGAACCTCGCTAACCTTGACCAGCTTACCACAAAACTATATGTTCCGTCAGATGAGGTATGCTCTACTGCCTGCGAGCCATTCAAACCCCTCTGTAACAAATATTCCACTATAGAGAAGCACTAGGAATCGACAGCTCCGTCGATATCCTCCACCACATCCGCCAACTCCCCACCGAAGAACAACCCACAGCCGTATCGAAGGTGCAAGCAGTAGAGCGCCGAGCCATGGCCGACCAGCAGCCGCAGCCCGGCCTGGTTCTCCTAATGGACTACCTTGAATCCCGCGGCGTACGACGAGCGCTCTGCACACGGAACTTCGAGTACGTTGTAGTTATCAACGCAACCTTCCACATGCATTCTAGATACGTACTGTAATGTGCACACAACGCTAACCTATATTCGCATCTTTAGAGCACCAGTCCAGAACCTGATTGACAATCATCTCAACGGTCATGTCTTCCTACCAATCATCACGCGGGACACGCCAAATCTCCTGCCCAAGCCTGATCCCGCCGGCATTCTGCATATTGCGAGTGAATGGGGTCTTGATGATGGTCGGAATTTGATCATGGTTGGTGATAGCATTGATGATATGACGGCTGGGCATATGGCTGGCGCTGCGACGGTGTTGCTTTTGAATGAGCATAATGTGCATTTGAAGGAACATCCGCATACGGATCTTTGCATTAAGCAGCTATCTGATTTGATCGATGTTCTGGAGGCAGGATTTGTCGGGACTAGAGAGAACGATGAGCATGGCGCGTGATGGGATCTAGGTGGAGGCTGCCGGATGGATATTGGGCAGCATGGGTATGTAGTGCGTACAATATAAGAAATATACTTGCTCAAGCGAGAGATTTTGAATAAACTGTCATTTAATCGTACATACTTGCTCAGCTGAGACTGAGCGGAATGGTAGATGCTGTTGCTGGCTTTCGCCGAGATCTGTCGCTCAATTCTGAAGGGGTAAAACCTCCTTCTTACCACCCGCGGCTTCGGCCGCCGCCACCACCACCATTACGTGGTCCGCGTGAGAATCCTCCTCGTTGTGATCCGCGGTTTCGGCCGCCGCCTCTCGGTGGAGGAGGACCCCGTGGAAGAGGCGGGTTGGGGGAGCGCGCGCGATTGTTGTTTCCAGAGAATGTTGAGCGACCACGAGAAGGCCCTCTAGATGGTGGATCACCACCGCGTTTAGCTCTGCTTGGGACCCTGATGGAAAGAGTATTGCCACGAGGAGCAGGGATGGGGCGTCCTCGGCCGCCGCGGGATATGCGGGACATCATGTCATCATCGTCTGGGGATGGGGGTCGCGACCATTCTCTGTCTCGTCCGCGAGATCGGCTTGGTGGGCCGGTCTCTCGCTGCGGGAGGACGGTGTTGAGGTTTGTGATCATATCTGGGTCGATTCCCTTCAAGGTAAATGATGATGACGCGGCTGTTGCGCGTAAGCTGCTAGATGGGCAATCTCCTACAAGATGCTTCGCACTGCAGCAATTCGCACAGCAGATTGACACTATGACTTGGTCGGAGTGAAGATCCCTCCTTGGGAACTTCCATAGGAAATCACATTCGGCTTCCAGGTGTTCATTGCCGCAGTAGTCACATGGCACTTCGTAAGCGAAGTTCCGTAGCTTTGCATCGCATTGCGGTTCGTCGTGACCACGTTCACGGCATCTTTGGCATCGTCGCCAATCGGGACAAGTACTGCTTTGGTGCTGATTCCAGGCACCGCAGTGTTCACACTTCATATTTGAGGTTAGTAATGTGAAAATAAATAACTAGATGCAAGACAGAACATACCTCTTTTGCTGGGCAGACATCGGCTATATGGCCCTCATTTTGACATTCGAGACAAGAGATGGGAAGTTTGAGGTCTAGATCATGGATGTTACGATCAAAATAGACGTACTTCGCAAGGATCTCAAGGTCTGTCTGGCTTAGATCCACTAAAGCAACAGGCGCATTTGGATATTTGATTGAGAAAAGTCGGAACGCTTCCTCTTTCGACCCAGGTCCGGATTGTGTAGATGTGCCTGAGTTTCCGGTGTTGGACCCATGCTGATGGGCTAGAGTGGCAGGGTCATAGTCATTGATACCATCCATCTTGTCCCCTATGTTCAGCAGGATAGAGTCATCAGCTTCAGAACCAAGAGAATCTGAATCATCCGTGTCACTCTTGGAGTCAATTTCCCCATCTTCCAGCTCACCGTCGTCTTGAGGTTGGTTGTTTGCTGTGGGCTTGTCTTCGCCATTGGCCGAAAGAGATTCACTGCGACTGCGCCAATATTTATCATTCACGGCTTCAAACTGAGTGGGCTTCTCATCGGGTGGTGCTGGTCGTTTTCCAAGTGTTGTGTGTACTAGAGCGGGGTTCTCGTCGGCTGGTGCTGATCGTTTTCCAAGTGTTGTGCGCACTGGAGCCTTCCGACCTTGGTTCCAGCTAATTGCAGGCGCGGTGCTACCGGCATGTGGGTTTGCGACGGTAGTTGGGGCCGCATTAGAATCGGAGGCTGAACTAGATCCAGAGCTAGATGTGTTGTCTGGATCATCCACTGGCAGTGAGGTGGCACTGAATGCAACACCTTTTGGAACAAAGTCAGCTAGGTCCGAGTCCTTATTTCTATTGCGGCGCCGTCTCTTGGTCGGGCGGGTGCTGTCGCGGGATGCGGAGCGCGAGGAACGCGGATTGGACCGAGTGCGCGGTGCGCCCACCAGGGCTGTGCGTGAATCAGCCTCTTCATCTGATGGATTTGCCATTTGGTTAATTTAATTGGATAATCTGGATAAAAATATCGGGAGATAGAGTGAAATAGAGTGAGAGGGAGTCTGGAAGGATCAACAGTAGAATTTGGGTCCCAGAGAATTTCACGGCAGACGATATAGACCACTCGCGCAATTCCACAATTGGAGTTTACGACTTCGGGAGATATATAAGGCGATAAGTTGTAGAACCCTTGGTTTGCACTCCGATAAGGTTTATAACCTTCTTTCTGTAGTATATAGAAAGGAAACTATTGGTTGCTTTTGTTTTCTGAGAACAGCATCTCCCATTAAATCATTACAGAGAGCACTAGCAGACCTCGTCTCGGTTGTATACAACCGAGACACAAAAAGAAATCAGAAAATACAAGATAGATAACTCTAAGATCAAGTCAACAGGTCAATTAATCAATGTCAATATGATCTAGACATGATCTAGACGGCAGGCAGACCACTAGCCAGTAAACCCTTTTGACCCGGGTTGCACTCGTGACTTCAACATCATATTTAGATTCATTCGGGTATTAATGATACAGATTATGAGCCAACACGCCACCTCCAAGGGCGAGTCATTAAAGCTGCAGTCTGCGTAGGATCTACCCGTAGGAGGCGATCGACGCCAAGAGTGGGGTTGATGTCATATTCGTAGTCCCAACCGAATGTTATTATGGATCTTATGGATCTTATGGATATCCATCTTAACCCCTCGTTATGGTTTATGGATTGGGCTGGTACTGTTGAGTATCTATGAACTACAGCTAGGTGAATGTTCATAGCCCGCAGTCATCCGCACTCCCATTTGCCAGATTAACGAGTTGATTCTAAACTGACCTGGCAGTGTTGGAGAACTACCTAGCCAGCACCAGCTCTTACTAGATAAACCAAAGACCCATCTACTCTTATTTGCCGGTGACATAAAACGCTACATATAAGCACGGCAATACCAAATAATTTGGGCGGAATCCGAGCCAGTGTTCCCGCGATCAACTACCTCGGTTTATAACAACCGAGTATCGGGCTCGTCATGTAGGATGAAGGCCTCTTTCCATGTCGATAAGATTTGCGGAGCTCTACGACAGCAGTGGATCTTCAGAAACAAGAACCCGGTACATGATTTTTGTATTCAACAATGCAGACCTCTCCCATTTCATAGCCATTGAGAAGATGACCACCTGCCGTGGCCTAGTGGACTAAATACTATGTATCAACAATCTTTATCAACTGTTCATGACACCTGTTCAGCATTTTGCCCCCGGGGATAACACCTCAATACGAAGGGAAAGCCGGTGGCTTAGCCTGAAGAAGACCGTGCCCTAAACACGGCAGAATATTGCATGCTGCCTTTTCACTAGAGGTCTCGAACTCATTGCTATTATGCAAACACATAAGGCCCTTGGCTTTGAATGTATGATTGCACAAGAATAGCTTATGCATCTGCTAAGAATCTACTATTTGGCCAGGTAACATTAGAGATTTTATATAAGAACATACCGACATATTCTATATGTATTTCTAGGTCTTTCAATGTCTTCTGAGATGGCAAACGTGGCAATAAGCATAATTAATTTGGCATAGTTGAGTAAAGGTGGCCAAGTCCATATTTTTAGTCTTTTCTATATGCATCTATCGAAGTCTCAAGCCATATTGCCCCATAAAAGGAAACGTCAACGATAAGAAACGTTTCAGATCTTCATAAAACCAGACCAAAAAGACAGGATATATATAGGAACCTTCCCCTTTCCTGAATCCTTGATATAAAGTACAATATAGTTTTACTCCTTTCGGGCTAGATTCCGCACATGCATACGTTTTGTACATAGGCCAATTATGCATTTTGCCTCTAGTTGCTAGGCCAATCCTGAAAGTAGGAAATAGATTAGGGAGAAAAAAGACCCAATCTAATTATAGACCTCTGATAGAAAAGCGAGAAGGAAAAAAAAAGATAGTCCCAGCAAGAAAAACGAGAAAATACGTGAATCAGAGAGCTCTTCCGCACCCCGTGACCGAAAGCCGATCCGACCGGCAAACTCCCAGTCTGGGCCGTGCCACCTCATCCCCACGCTCCTTTTCATTCTTCTCTCCTTCTCTTCCAACTTATTCTTTTCCTTTTGGATCCAACCGTCAAGCTGGCGTCCGACAATTCAAAAGTGTCTTCCCTGTTGACCCCCCGGGGGATATCCTTTCCTCCGGATGTTGACACAGGGCCGCAGCGGTTGTCTCCAAGGATGACCTCAAAACAAGGCCGCCGGAGGCGGTCCAGCAGTCTTATCTACCAGGAACCGGCCGAATCTATTGAGCACACTAGTGATCAAGCCGCATTGCCAAACCTGAATGCGAACTGGGTGAATTCCAAGGGTGAGTGACCAAAAAAAGCCGATCCTGGAGACCACATATCACAAGATAGAGAAGAAAACAAGGACTAACGTGGAATCTTATTTCAATTACAGGTGCTTGGACCATTCATTTCGTGTGTATCGCCGCTCTCAAGATCTTCTACGACATCATCCCCGGCGTCTCGCAGGAAACTTCATGGACCCTCACCAATATCAGCTACATGTTCGGATCTTTCCTCATGTTCCACTGGGTGCGGGGCATCCCATTTGAATTCAACGCCGGTGCCTATGACAATCTCAACATGTGGGAGCAGATCGACAACGGCGATCAGTATACGCCCGCTAAGAAGTTCTTGCTCTGCGTGCCTATCGTGCTCTTCCTCCTCAGCACTCATTACACCCATTTCGATTTGACCCACTTCACTATCAACTTCCTGGCCACATTGGGGGTGGTCATTCCTAAGCTGCCTTTCGTATGTTATATCTGCTCGGGAGAAGACTTACGAATCTCATTTGCTAACATTCTGATTAGTCGCATCGGCTGCGAATAGGTCTCTTCTCCGATATACCCGAGGAGTCATAGTGGCTCCCATTTAATCTTTCCTTTTTTTTCTCACCGATAACTACCCATGTTGGCGTATCCACGGCCTCCTTGATTTCCCGAGCTTTCTCGCCTTCCCCTCCTTTTCTCCATAAAAGGCCTTTGCATTGCGAATTTGATTGACGGGGGTTGAACCGTTCTTGGCCACCGCGCATCCTGTTTCTCTTTCTTTCGTGTCGGCAAATATGAAGAGCAGAAGTCACTGCGAATCAGTCTAAATTCCCATCCTTTCCGTCTGCCCTAGGCAGCTTATCCTTGTCTAGATGTTCAAGTATCCAAGCCCTGCATATTTTACCCTGCAAGCATCTATTCTCTCGGGTCCCTGCTCTGCCTTTGAAATGTTGGGCCTGCGCAATGTAAGGGATCAACGTACCTTTGCAATTTATGCACATAAAGTAAGACATTGTCCCTAGAGTAATTAATGCATGTCAATCTCTTGGCTGTGGCCCATGCGGGGAGGGGCTATTGTCTCATTGTGTCTAGATATAATCCGATCAGGATATCACTTCTAGCAACATTCGAATGATTATGTTCGAAGGATACAAACAAAGAGCCGAAACAGGCAAGGATATCGTACTGACTACGTATATAAAGCCCGTGAGAGAAATTTTCTTTCATCTGCCCTTTCTAATATTCTTTGTCTTAATCCTCAACCTCAAAACTCGAAGAGAATGTCCGTGGTTTTTTTCATGTCGAGTTTTAGCCTTGCATCTGTTTCGGCGTTCATTCGTTCCTTTTATTTACTTTTTGACGAGAATCTTTGAATTTGAAGAGGCATATAATATAGTAAGGCATGAAGAGAACATGAAAATACGGTCCTAATATCATATTGACAATAGATCAGATTACCAAAGTCTTACGCTTATTTGCTTTCCTTGTTTAAAGGAACCAGAGGAAGGTTCCTTCCCTATTACCACCCAAGTACCTATAGCTTCCTCGATTGTAGATAGTAGTCATAACTTCCTACACGGCTTGGTCTAATTCTCAATAAACTAGCTATATCTTCACCAGCTGAGTCGTCAGTGTTTCTCTCCACTATGGATCAAAAACCTTTGACAGCTTTCCCCATATCCTTCCTGAAGACAATACATCTCATCGGTTCTCTCTCCTGGCTGCAAGTGCTCTACGCAGTCTCCTACATCGTACGCCCGTTTTGGAACACACGGCGCGAGTTTCCACCATTCAACAGAGCCATCGATCGCACAGAAAAAAGCATTATCAACACCATACTCGGCACTATTGCACTCTCAGCCCATAGTTCTGAAATAGAAACAGAGCGCCAGTGGTACCTTTCATCGGGAAATGGCACCCTGAACAACATGCGCACCACCTCCCAATCCATCCCCAGCTTGCTAGTCACCTCACCATGGCCACCGGATGAACATCAAGACTCGGATTCCTCATTAGAGCAAGAAAGTCCCACCTCACAGCCGAGCACCGAATCTCCCCGAGAAAACTTCCCTATCTATGAAACCGTGCGCAAGCTCCGATCTAGCACACGGGGCAGCATTTCAAAGCTCGCCAACTCGGCAAAATCCATCTTCCGACAGCCTCTGACCGTTCTGCCACGGAATATGGGCGTCCCCTCCCCGGATGAGGAACGGGCCGAGCGAGACCTGATTCCAGTCCCAGTACACACTGCGCAGCCTCACTTCGTCCAGAACATGGCTTTCCCCGCGCCCATGTCGGCCTCTGCACATATCACGGATCACTTTAGTGACCCTGGTCCGTCGACTGGAAGCAAGGTGCAACAGCCAGTCTCGTTTGGGGCGACCATTGATGCGGCAGCTGATTCTGATACGGTGCAGATGAATCGAGCGCGCAAGTATCAATCTGTCGAGAGCTATCCGGGAAAGTTCCCTGTTAGTGATACATTGGATTATAGCTCGCTTGCTAGCGCTTATGCTGTTAGAGGGAGGGGGACTACCTCCGTTCGACCTTTCTCGGACTACTAGGGCTTTTTTTTTGGTGATGGGCATTTTCATTGGCATTGCGGGTTTCGGAGATGATATCTCCGTGACGATTTTGGCTGTTTGACTGAAGGCTTCGAATTAGGTCTTTTGATTTGCTTTTTAGGACATGGCATCAGAGTCAGTCCTGTACTTGGGTTTCTGCTATTCATTATATTCATTACCAAAGATCAGGTCTGTCAATCTTGTCATTCAATGGAATTTCTATATTTTCGCAGAATTGGCTAGTTACCTTCTTTTATAGTTAGGTGAGGGTCGAAGGATATGCTTAACCTGGCGCTTTGCGATTCAAACTTTCACCAAAACAAACAACTCGGTACTGTAAGTACGCCGTCCACGGGGACTCATGCAGTAGCCCTGTCAATTCCTCGTCAATCCAAGGAAGAAATTGTCAGTTCTTTCATTGTCTGTATACTTCCCACCGCCTTTGTTTCCGCTCGAAACAAAGAAGTTCAATCTTTTTATAGAATTAGTTGTCAACATTTCTCTTAGCTACTAGCCAATATAAAGGATAGTATGTATTTATCCCAAATACCTCTAGAACCTACTTTGGAGTCCTTTCTCTTGCATAATGTCACATATATCAACATCGAACTGCCTCCTGTTCTGCTGGACATATACACGTGGACCTCTTTCGACGCGGACGCGCCATCCTTATCGATAAGCGCGTTACTGCCACTATCTTTTCAGCTGGCTTTTCAAAAAAAATCCCCCCTCTGGCCATGGCAACCATGGACGAGGTACCATACCGGCCACATGTGCCCCTTCAATGGGAGCTGGCTCGACAGACAGAAATCTTCCTCGAAGATAGCCTATGTATGTTCGCTTTTCCCGTGTTTTGACGCGTGCGCGAAAAAACCTCAAAGAGTCGCTGCTAATAATCTCCTTCTCAACCAGGGCCGCAAGCATATAGCCTTCTCTTTAATGTCCTTGCATCGGGCACTATCGCATCAACAAAAGCAGTGATTCCACTGCCTCGGCATCTGGCCGTCGCAGCTACGATGCTGGTGCACCCAAGAACAACAACGCGCGCCGAGACGGAGTACGAAAAGGAAGCATCCAAAGCAGCTTTGCGATTTCTCCGATTGACGAATTCTCTTGTTGGTCCCACGGATGCAAAATTTAATCTCGCTTTCGGATTCAACCAGTTTGCATCTTTGCGACCTGGTAGGCGGCGTGCGGAAAGCCCGATGCTCGCTGAGAATGACAATCCTGATACCAGGCCTCTGAATACGAAATTCGACCAGGCTTCTTCGGTGTGGAACTGCGCAGAGGACTTCTGGCACGCTGTCGGTTGGGCATTTAATTGTTCGGTGCTTCATCCGGCCCGGTGGGAGCGCTGGCAGATATGGCTCCAGTTCATGTGCAACGTACTAGAAGATGATTGGAAAGAGTGCGAAAACAAGGCGGTACCTGATGACCTTAGCATATTTCGGGAAAGCCTGATCTTCCGTTATATCTCCTCAAACTCCACAGCTGGACGGAACCGCAGAATCATGCGGGCAATCTTTACCAATGCCAAATCGAATCCTGGCGAGTTCAAGGAGGTATTCAAAGATGAATTAAGAATGCCCGTCCCTAAACAAGACTCGCATAATTTAAAGAAGAGAGCAGGTGATATCGACCTCGACAAGGGTCACTATGGCGATTACCAGAACAATTTCGACGATGATTTCGAAGCTGATCAAAGCTCAACCTCGGTATTAGAATCGACTGCTAAGCCACGACGTAGCAAACGAACCCGACGAGGAATGCGCAACGCAGAGGACGACGCCACAAACCCCATTAAGATGGCCAAAGCAAGCCAATCATCCTCCCGCGAAAGCAACAATCTCTCCCTACTAGGCGGCTACACTTCCATCGGCCTCCGCCAACAACTCCTCAGCATCCTCTCCAACGTTTCGGAAAAACTGCCGCGGGACTTCATGCCCCTAGACGACCTCTACAACATGTTCGTCGAGAACATTCGCGACCTTTCGCTCCCGATCTTCCAACACTTCATCAGCCCCTCCAACCCACACCTCCTACCCGAAGCGCACTCCACACTCTGCGAACTCCTCCTCTTCGTCATCCGCGAAAGCTCCGCCCCAAGCTCTGATGCCAAGTACCTTACCCAGGACAAGCTGGAGAAATGCTTCCTCCCCTATGCGGCGGCTACCCCAACCGTGGAGAACAATGCCAAGATCTCCATTCTGCTCGAGGCGCTGATGACACACCTGCACGAGGGAAAGATGATCTCTGTGACCCCATCGCTGACGGAAGCTGTCAACTCTGGGATTGCGCGTCGTGAGAAGGCTAGTCTTGATCGGGACTCGCTTGAATGGGCTTACTTGAAGGAAAGTGGGTTTAGGATGAAGTTTATGGTCGAGCATATCTTACCGTGAAGCGTTTCTGTAGGATCGGGGATGACCGGCGTTGTGGTAATGATATTAATGGTGGTAATGATACTTAATGATCGGATTTCGGGGCGTTTTTCAAGCGTTTGAAATGCCATTTGATTCTTTTCGGGTTTATAATTGTTATGATATATACTTAGAGAAATGCAGATTCTTCCTACTTACTTTGAAAGGACTATCCTACGAATGTGTGATCAACTATGAAACGTATTTTTAGAATGTGTTTAATATAGAGCCTTGAGTATAAATTGCTATCTACAAGCACATCGCGTCAAAAATAAAGAACAAAAAACAAGGGCCTGAAGCGGGAATCACACGCAGATAACACAATAATCCACCAACGCAGAAATATGATAATAAGTCTTCTGTTCCAATGATGATATCCGCCCACAGAGGCAGGAGGAAATGAGCTTAGAAGCCGAAGTAGAAGGAGAGAATAGTAAGAGAATAGAAGGGGCAAGGAGTCAAAGAAACAAGAACCCTAGGTTGAATAGGTAGGTTCAAGGAGCTGTCAACCCAAGTCAACGCTTATTGCGGCGGCCGGGGCCCAATGATCTGGCGCCTAGCACCACCAATACCAAGGCCAAGACCGCCACGGTTCTGGTTATCACCACCCATATAGCCATACTGATGAACATCCCAGGTCTGGCCCGGTCCAGAGCCCTGGGTGCCATCTTGGGCGCCACGCTCGGCCACAGCCGCCACTTGTTTCTGGTTCTCCGCCCACTCTTCCTGACGCGCGCGTTCGCGCTCCATCTCTCGTTCTAGAAGAGACTTGGATGCCCAGCCGCCGGCCTTGGTCTTCTGCTGTGCAGCTACGCGGCGGCTATTCTCGGCGTCGACTTCGGAGGTCGTGGTATAGTCTTGGAACCGGTGGGTAGCTGGCGCTGGGGACGCGGGTGCTGGATTCGAGGCGAGGAAGCTATCCACGCGGCTTTCGTGGCCTCGGTTGGCGTTGTATGCTACTGGGTCTGGGAGGGGCCGGGGCGACTTGGGAAGGTCCCTAGGAGGGAGCGTCGGGGTTGTAGAGAAAGACGATGGCTTTGGCACTGGGAGGGGACGAGGGACTGGGGGTGGTGCTTGCTCCTGGATGGGTTCGTGCTCCTCTGCCTCGGAAGCAGCAGGCATATCCTGCGTGTTCTGCCACTCCGTCCGGAGAAGGCGCCGTTCTTGTTCGAGAGAAGAGAGATCATAGCTAGGCTTGGCGGGCACGGGACGACGAGGCTGAGGCTGAGGCTGATCGCCAGTCTTTCCAGGCTGGACTTCCTGCCGCTCAGTTTCGTACTGGCGCTCTCGGTCCTTTGCCAGCTGTAGCTCGCGCTCGAGCTCTTTGATGCGGCGGCTTTGGGCCGTTTCCTCGACCGGCCTTGCTACGGCATCACTAACCTGGGAGTTGGAAGCCTGGTACTGGCTCAGGAACTGACCATTGAGGCGGTTATCATTCAGGCTTCGTCTCTGTTGGCGTTCCTTCTCAAACCGGGCCTCGGCTTCCTTTTCTTCCGCCATACGTCGCTGCTCTTCTGCTTCCCATTGGCGCTTCTCTTCGTCCCAGCGCTTCTTCTCTGCTTCCACCTTGAGACGTTCTTGCTCCCTTGTACGGGCAGTCTCTTCTTCCCATCGGCGCTCCTCTTCTGCCTGGGCACGAGCCTCCTCTTCTGCAACCTGTCGCTGGTGAGCCCGATCTGCCTCTTCCTTCTCTGCGTTCTGTTGACGGATGCGTTCGTCCTCTTCGCGCCTGCGCTTCTCTTTCTCTGCAAGGCTTGGTACAGCAGGTCCGGGAGTGGTAATCTGTCTGCGAGCACCAAATGCAATCCCTTGATTCCCTTGGCTAGCTCCCCCAATGTAGCCATACTGGTGAATGTTCCAAGCCGGCGTGGTACCCTGCTCATCTCCCTTTTTGGCCCAAGTACTGTATGACCCGGAGGGTTTCGCAGGGCTGCCTGTTTGAGAGGGAAGGGTCCCCCCGACAATGCTAGAGGAGCGAGCGGATCGGGGTGTATATGCTCCGTTGCTTGAAGACCCCGTCGCATTTGGGCTGATTACACCGCGCTTACTCTGCGGGCCAACCGTTCGGGGAAACTTGTTGGGCGCAAGGGTATTGGCCCGCCGACTGAACGCTGCGATACACTGGAGAACCTGCGCCGGATCCTTTGCTTCGTATAGATCAACTGTCAGAAAGACATCGTGCGGGGGGAGGTTGAGCGGTGGCAGTTGGCATGCGCGCAAGAAATGCGAAATATTCTCCATCTGTACAAATGGCGCTGACAACTTCTTATACTTCACGCCTGGTGACACAGCGAGGTTTACTAGTCTTGTGATTAAGGAGTTAGCCAGGGGTCTAGACCCACTACTTGAGAAACACAGATACAACTTACTTGCAAAGAGCAATGCCATCTTTCAGGCCTTCGAGTAAGTCTGGCGATGCCAGTTTCTCATGCAGCATTTCCTCAATCCAGTCGCGCACTTCCGCGGCTGCCTGCGGGGTATAGCGGGATAAGCGCATATTGCGCAAGTCCTTGTCCAACGAAGTCACTGAAGCCATGATGAGTGCGGAATACTCGATGCTCGAGTTTGTTGAAGTGTAGGTAGACTGTTGTTGCCACTTGGTATGTATCCCTTTGCCGGTGCCTGACCGGCCCTAATGGTGGCGGCGATTGGGTAGCAGAAGGAAGGCGTTCCGTGATACAATTGGTAATGGCAAGATGAAGAGAATATTTCAATTACTAGAAGCGCAGATGTTTCCAGTAATGTCGTAGAAATGAAAAAAAGAAAGAGAAGAAGGTCTAGGGATAGAGAGAAGATCGAACGGGTGGAATGTTCGGGCTGTGTTTATCCCCCGATGACGTTCCTGACATGCCGTGCGCCTAGATCTTTTTTTCGCCTCCTTCTATTCTTCACGCTCAACGATGGTTAACAGCTTGTGGTTCAAATGGAAGAAGCTTCGCCTGCCCTGGCGAAAATCCTTCTTGGTCGGTCAGTATCTGCTTTTTGTTTTTCTCGTGATGTCTCAGTACCGCTAACCGTCTCTCAGGTGAGGATCTCGCTGGAAATACCTTCTGGGAGTTCAAGGATGTGTTGAATGCATCTCGGTTCCGACGCATTGTTCGATTCGATCCCAAAACTCATTTGAGTGATGTTCAAGTGACACGTAAGTCCCGTCGGAAGATGCAGGCTCGGGCTTGGACCACATGTCCCTATTCCGGGGTAAAGGGAAGTGAGACTATGAATCATAACTAACATGTTGTTTCAACACAGCGCAATGGTACCAATGGTTGCGACATGTCCGAGAACACCCCCCGAGCATCCAGGAGCAGCAACAAGATCTTGTCCGACAGGCGCAAATCAAACAACTCGCTCGACTCGCCGATGAACGCTGGGCCAGCAAACCCTCCGTCCTCGATAAGCCCAAGAATCATCAACAACCACCAACGACCCAGATCAACGAGGCGAATTTGAATCAGCCCGCTAACGCTGCTCCCGCACAAACAGTACCGGCTTCAACCACATCCGAACCCGTACCGAAGACACAAAAGGTGGAGAACCCATGGGGCAAGGCCAACAAAACCAACCCAGGTGAGGAGTGGCAACCTGAAGCGTGGACTCCTAGTTCCAAGCGGTGAAGATGATATCGGCTTATTCCGGTCATCTCTTCACAATGCTATATAAGCTTGACTTCCAGAGATGTGTGCCGGATGGTAGAGAAGGCTGTCGCCGTGCACTGTTGGTCAATTTACAGCAGAAACACATTTCAAGGAACCCGGGTCATGGATGGCATTGAGGCTATCTCATGCCGACGAGTCTTTGAACTCTACCCGCGCTCCTTTTTGTGTGAGGATAGCGGCTATTGTGCACTATGTTCAACCTTACAGGTCATAACAGGTGTGGCCCGACCTGTCTCGGGGGTTTCAAAAGAATGAGAGCCATGTATATTGGCACTTGTATATTATGCTATTATAGTTTTCTATTATCTAGCGTTTTCCACTCAATCTTACCATCGACTAAAGGTATTCTCGAGCCCTCAACTATACTCTATATCCTAGTAAATCTAGTGGCTAGGCACAGTGTTTTTTTTATATTTTCAATTTTCCTACTCTCACATATAAATCACCCCCTTTTTTGGTTTTTTGTATTTTTCCATGCTGCAGCGCAAGTGTCATAAAAAGACCTCACCCCCCTTTTTTGTATTTTTCAATTGTCGCACTTGTTGCAGCATAGGCACATCTCAAGCTTGTAAGAAAAGCAAGGATACTGCACCCTTTTTTTTGTCGTTTTATGTTTTTTTTTCCATCGCTTTCATATCATGAGCAGTATTCCAGCTCAATAAAAGAAGTCATTGCGAAAATCATAGCTCAGATGATTCCAAAAAGGAATGGAGCATAGCAGGAGGGTATCAAAGTCCAGATTCCGGAAAGATTGGTTAGATCGTAACGTCAACAAGAAGATAGAAAAGGTCAATGGTCGATTTAGATGTAGACCATGCTGTTCTGGCATGCGCTTGCCATGGCCAAGGTAGTACCTCTAAACTTATCCTCGTTCTGGACTTGCATGTTGTTGTCATGGTAGTAAGCCAAGAGATACTTTCGAGCACGATCGCAGAACTTATCAGCCAGGAAGGCAGGAGTGCTGTAACTAATCGAGCGAGTAGCGCGACCCATCAGATAACAGATATTGTGGGTAAGTTCTTGCAACACATCAGCTGGCTTGCGGTCAGTATTGACCTTGGGGTTGGTGAAGATCTCATCGTGGATGACAATGTAGTGAGCCGGACGAGCGGAACCCTGAAGAGGAGCCTGGGCTTGTAGATAGAAGTCCCAGTAGATAGGACGGGTAACTCCGCGGTCAACAACACATCCGTTAATGGGGTTAGATGTCCGATCTTGATCCTTAGCATTGGTAGGGTAGAAGCGCACGTTATGACGCTTTCCACAGACAATGATGGTAATGTTGGGCATGGCTCCACGGTATACCGCTTTAGCAGCAGCTTGAACCTTGGGGAGTTCCTCTGTAAGGACCATGGGGAACTGACCGTCGCTGACACCGTCGCGGTACACGAGAATATTCTGGGGTAGGTTGCCGTTGTTGGTCTTTTGCCACAAGCTCAACCGGGTAAGCATCATCTCCTTGAGGAATTCAATGTGCTCCTGACGGCGTGTCTGGGCTCGAACCTCACCGGGCCATTGTCCCATGTTGTGATCGGTGGATGCAACGATGGCAGCAACACTAGGGAAGATTTCGGGGTCTGTGCTTGACGGATGAGTGACATCCAAGCCAACGACCATGGTGTTCTTCGCTGCACTGATAAAGCGTGCGTTTGCCGGCTGCAGGAGTTGATTGCATCCTCCCATCTTGAGGTTGACCTTCATCGCGTTGTTACTCAAGTACTGCTCATTGGCACCTCTGAACTTCTCGGATAGCATGCAGTGCGTAAGGACGCCAGTCTTAAGATCTCCGGCATACTTGACGTAATCGAAGATTTTGCCTTCAGTGGTAGGAAGCAGAACAACTAGGAAGGGGAATTCTCTCATGAGCTTCTTGAATGCGTCCTTGATCATATCGCGATTTTGTCTGTCATCCGGGCCGAGAAGGACTGAGAGATACGGCTTAGAAGGCGGAGGAAGCGTCAGGCCATGGTCACGCAATTTCCTGTAGAAAGCGTCCATCTCGATCTCGGGATTCTTCAAGGCATCCTCTTTTCCGCGCTTTCGAAGCCAAAGACAGCTCCATTTGCTGATGCTGGCGCCACGGGCAAATTTGGTGCCGATCAAATTCCACGAGCCGTTTCGAGGGTTGGTAGTCTTCTTGCCGCCATAGAGTAGATTGGGAGGATTCAAAATCCGTGCAGGTACAGTGATCATCTCCCTGCCGGGCTTGATCCCCACTGTCTTGGTATGTCCTCCGGAGATTCCCATTATGTCCAATCCCTCAGTCATAATAGAGTCATAGTTCTGAGGAGGCCGCCGGCAACTGAACTTGATCATGTTCTGTCGTTGGACAGCGGACGGCTCTGGCTTGAAGCATTGCCCGGGGAGGACTTCGCAAACCTCTGCAGGAAGGTAAACCGGACGTTCACGGGTTCCAACATTCACCACCGGCATATCCTTGCTGTATTTGAGTGTCCTGTTGTAGGCTATTATTTCCTGTTAGCACAACGCAAAATACCGAGTGATAGGCAGCAAACATACTCTTGAAGAAGTATTCGGTAATGCTCATGTATTTTCCCTTCTTGTCATCTCCCATCCAGAACTTCACATTGTCCGCACTAGATGAGAGGTTTTCAATCTGAGGAGGGTTGGGGCCAGGGCGTCCATCCCGAGGAGTAGCAGTTCCGAGGATCGTTCTGACAGGGTATTCCATTACCCCAGCTCCGTTCTCTCGACGCTCCAGATGCAAGGCATAGACTTTCACACCCTTCAGGTACCGATTCAAAAGCTCTCGGTCCGTTCCGTGGACTTGGGCAAAAGCAACAAGTAGCTCAGACAGCATACCCGAACGGAAGAATGCACTATGGCTGACATTCAAATTAAGGAAGATTCGTCCAGCACCAACACGGACACTCGAGTAGTAACCACGAACGGCTTCGGCGCCAGCCTTCATGTCCATTGACTGCTTGCGCCTGTCCATCCGGAAGAACTTGTTGCGTCCCTTGCCGACGATGGAAATGCCGGTATCTTTGTAAGGATGAGCACTCATGAGGATATTCAGTACTCGGAGACAGGGCGCTTCATTCTCAAGTTCCTCTCGGTGGTTGACGTTCTCAAGGCACGCCATCATCTCAGCCGGGGAATAAGAGCTGTCGAGGGTCAAAGTGGCTTCCCAGGGGCCGGTGTAGGCTTTCGATTTCCCACCTCCATGTCCGCCTCCGTTGCCCATGGAACAAGTGAATGGCTCTCTGCCTTCGGGGAGTAGCTCGGTAGTAACAATCTCAGTAGCGCCATCGGTGGCAACGCCAATTCCTTTGTTGAATAGAGGGTACTTGCGGAACATACTATCGAGAACGAACTTTTGCTGTGCTTTCTTCGCCTCGGGCTTGACCTTGAGCCGGTAAGAGTAGAATCTAACGTTCGGCTTGAACTCCATGGGGAAGAAGTTGGCGCGAAGCACAATCGCACGACCTTGAGTGCCGTAGCCAGGACGTCGAGCCAAAGAGTTGGACTCTGGGCGAACCTTTGCTGACTCCGTAACGTACTTGTCCTCCAAGGCCTGGACCCTGGTGCTGGGAGCTTCAATTGGGTCCGACAACATTCTGTGCGCATGTTAGATATAAATCTTTCCTAATGTAGAACAAATAAACTTACCCAGAGGGGGCTTCGGACCCGCCACGTCCACCACCGCCGCGACCACCACCACGGTCACTGCCACGGCCCCGATCACCGCTGTAACCGCGGTCACCACCACCCCGGCCTCGGGAGCCACCACGATCACCACCGCCACGGCCGCCTCGAATGGGCAAATCGTAGCCACGACCAGACATTTTGACGAATGTCTAGTTAGAGAAAAGAGGTAGTTGTAAAAAAGAAATGATTATGTGAGACCGTGAACTTTGCACGTGTCTGAGAAAGTAGGATAAGCGACGAAAAGGACTCGAAACCCCTAGTTATTTGGGTATTTCGGAGAGGAAACGAGGACAGAAGGAAGGACGGAAGAGTAGGTTTCAGGAAAGGACAAGCGTAATCTTGTCCACCGCAGGTTTCCTTTTTCAGAAAAAAAAAAAGAAAAAAAGGTCAAATGCAGGTTCGTTGCTCTATCGTTATGCATTAGTAACGATGAAAAATTGGTTTGTTGATATGCATAAAGATATTGATGTAAACTCAGAACCATGCAGCAGAGTAATGGGTGATGTAGGGCATGCAATAGCATGAGGCAAGTCGCCCAACCCACAACCAAGAGCGAGCCAATGGGAATGGAAATGCAGTGACAATGGAGATAGTGAGGCAATGAAGATGTAGGACTGGATATCGGATATGAAGAACTGGATGATGGTGCAAGGGAAAAAGTTCAAGGGAAGACAAATGGAAATCAAGGTAGACCAGGAAGAAACAAATGAACAGCAGCAAATAAGAATATCAGAACAAATGCTAGGAGGTATGCCTGATCTCAATGAAGAGGCAATTGGAAGAGAGATTTGTTGCAAATTAGGGCTTGGGGCAAAGGATTCACAGCAATCAAGGGGCGACAAGCATTACCATCAAAGCAGCAAGTGAGAGATGCAAGTTAGGGGAAGTGGATTGCAAGTGAAGAATTGATAAAGATTAAAGTAAGGTATATGCATATGCAGTGAGGAATACAGAGAGGACTGGCTCAGTTTGCCAATATCAGAGGTACTGGCATGCGATTGAAGGGTGTAGAGACATATTAGGGCAAAGAAACGAACAATGTACTCACCAAAGCTGTTTGTATGGGTCGTAGGGAGGAAGAAGAAGGAAGAGGAAGAAATTGCTGGGGATGGTATATATAGTCGGCCACCGCAGTATGCGCGCGCTGGTAGACTTCAAGACCATGAGGCATGTAACGCGTGTTGGTGGACTTCAACTTCAATATCATAGAGTATGCATGAAACGCGCGCTGGTAGGCTAGATCATGGGGTATGAAACGCGCGTTAGTAGACCTCAAGCTGGTTGATATGTAGGACTTAGGGCAAGGACTTGCTACATGGAACTTATAATATGAGCCTGATAGTATGGGGTAGGACTTATAGTATCAGTATAGAAGGCTTGGAATAAAAAGCAAGTTAGCCATGAAAATCCACAGTACTTAGTACTGATAGTACTAGGGCAACAAAGAAGAAATGAAGCTCACCAGTCCGACAAAGAAAGACGCATACTTTAAAGCTCCTGAAGCTCAAAAGAAAAAAGATAAAGGAATACAGCAAAAGCTAGGTAGTCACAAAGTATTATGAAATTAGGTATCCACAGAAGAGTCTAACTAGATATTATGATAATCTAACATTTTAGGGCTGTAAACACCCGGCCTAGGCCTGAAAGCAAAACCACAAACTCCAAAAGCAAACCAGATATTCCCAATGATATAGCCCTAAACACCGGCTAAAAAGAACAGAGACAAAAAAAAGCAGAAGGAAAACAAAATCAAAATCAAAAAGGCTTAACAGAAAACAGCTTCGAGGGCTTCGACGTCGCCGCCAGCGCTGCGAACAGCTCTCAATGCGGCTTCGCTCAGCTTGCGACGTCTATCGCGGGCTTCTTGCTCGCGGCGAGCCTTGGTCTTGGAACTGCCAGAGGGAGCAACTCCGGTCAGGATCTTCTTGCTGTCGTCGGCAGTAAAGTTGACGAACGATACGCTGACAGACTTGTTTGAGCCTCGGGATGAGGAGCTAGGGGCCTTGGCGGGCTTGGGGGTATTCATGCTCTGGCTGGAGAGCTTGCGGCTGTGTGTGCGGCGGTGGGTGGGCTTGGAAATGGATCCATGGTGGGTGTCCCTGGGTGATGTGCCGGTCTTGGGAGAGAGAGATGATGATGAACGGGAGATTTCGTGGACTTGGGAGGAGGTGTAGGAGGTGTCGAATTTTTGAGAGGCGGTAGGGAGCATATTAGATGAGAATGAGTGGTCGGCCGACATGTCATATGAGGGATTGAATTGAATCATTAGTCCTCCTTGCATGATGTCATTTTGGCTTCCAACGTTTTGCATGTGGCGGACAGGTGTGGGAGATGCGAGGTAAGCGGCCTGCTGTTGAGCGACCCGAGAAGGCATGGGGGACCACCATTGAGATTCCTGGCCTTGGAGGTCTGGGGTGAAAGGTAGGGATGAGGCATGGAGAGAATCGGATTGCCAAGAGGAGAGAGAATGGAGGTCGGATGAGTGAGATGAAGAGAAGATATCATCAGCGGAAGAAGGGCTGGAGTTGGTCAAAGCGGAAGAGCTTGGGTGAGCAATGTAGTGCTGTTGCTGCCGCGCTGACATTGCGATACTCGGCGACTGCATTGGAACTGACGGAGACTGGTGATATAGCCTTGCGTCGTACTGAGGAGGCATCTCTGCCGAGTCTCTAGACTGGTTCATGATTTGTTCGGTAGGCATGTTCTCATGCTGAATGAGGGCATCCGATGGAGGAGGCGACAGTGGCAAACGGTCTTCGGAATTGTGAAGGCTGAAGTTCTGAAGTCGCTGGGCCCAAGCCTCAGGATAGGCCATCCTTGATTTGGATAGGTTGGAAGAGCGCATTAAGCTAGGGGAGAAACTTTGCTTGCGCAGATGAGAGCGACGCTCATTCGGGCTGCGGTGGCGGATAGTCTTGGGAGTGATGAGAGCACTCTGGGTAGGCTTCCGTCTAGGGGTAGCTGGAGGGGTAGAAGGCGAGATAGACAGAGCGTGTGTTGCTGTAGGACGAGAGGGAACTTCAAAGTGGTTCAGGTTGACATCTGAGATGGCAGAAGGATGGACGGTGTCATGGAAAGCAAAATGATCGGCAGCAGGTCCGTCATACTGCAGGGACCACTCATTACTCCAGGGTTGCGGTGATTGATGGCATTTGGGAGTGGAGACAGTGGGTGCAAGATCGCCACAGTCGTTTGACAGCGAGTCAAGCGGAAAGAGCTGGTCAAACTCGGACAACGCCGAGTCTTTTCCATCAGCGGCACTAGTTTCCATGTTGACGTATTGGTTGAACAAGTCATTGAACGAATGGTCGTATTGTTGGGCGAACATCTTGCCGGATTTCCGTTTGCGGCGACAAAGTAAAAGTACGGGGCAAAAGTGTAGTCAGCGACTCAATACCCGAAAGGCTTTGATGTGATTGGATAACAAAGATATAGTCTCGGAATAAGCTTGGGAGAGTTTGGGGATAGTTCGGGGGAATCGACCCGGATATCCGAGGAGTGCAAAGGATGCAAAAAGAGGGAGAAGCGTTTGAATGTTTGGATGTTTGATAGTTTGTCAATCAAAGAAAACACTGCAGACGATGCAAAGAAAGCAAAGCAAACAAACAGATGCAAGCCCTATTTGAATAGCTGCCAGGGACACCAGCCTCGGAATTTATGGACACATTCCTCGTCCATCTTTAGAGCACTTGGAATGTGCTATAGAGGGCCCGGTTGGCTCCTGGTCGGCCCCACCAACCTCCCTCAAGAATGCTTCAAGGCTCTCAAACCAATCGTAGTTGCTGGAAATACAATGGCTGGCCGAGCAGTTAATCTCCGTCAGATCTAAAAGACGCTTCGTGTCGGATAGCCACCCACGGGAATGCAACCCTCCTTCACTAAGCCAGAAGCAGTGGAACAGCCATCAAATGGGTTAGTGAAGCAGGCCTTTAGGGGACTTAGGCATGTTGGCCGATACCTTAATTAAAGATCGACATGACTCGTACAGAGTACAGAGTAAGAGAACGGCCGTGGAAATGGGTCGGAACGCTCTCCGAAACGTTCAGGATTGTCCAAGGAACCAGGACCATACAGCTTGGACAGAATGATGATCACTTATCCAAGGTTGGTACTTGCAGTGTAAGCGTCATGATACCTGATATCCCATCATCAACCGCCCGAAAAGACTCGAGTTGGGTGACAGTATGATCGGCCGTGCACTGTGGCTGCATATTTCTTGCATTTGCTTCATTATGATTAGCCAATTGATCAAATGGGGGTCGGTAATGTTGTCGATTGGTCAATGTCCTGTTAGTGATAGACGGTCCGGAATGTGGGTTGGAACGTAGAGGCTGGGCGGAATGTCACCTCCCACCCCGAACAATGCACAGAAGAGTTCTAAGTATTCGAGAAGAATATGTTTTCCTGGAAAGCTCCAGTATGAATGTTCCCCTGCTTAGAAGTTCGGCGAACCTTGACCTGCAGGAGATCGCCGTCCCGGGCCCTTATTCGGGAGTGTTTGCTTCAACCCCATGTTCTATATTTGGACTGCATGAAGATGATCAAGATAAGGCCATGTTTGAATGCAGCAGAAAACAAGCCTTTCCTCCGCATGAGATAAGGATCTGATACCTCCTTTCCCCTTCGGTATAATCGCGCCATTTAGTGGTCAAGTGTAGTGTCCTTCAATCGGTGGGGTTTTAGGTGGTTTTTGGTACAAATCTCACATGATATGATTAGCCAATTGTCTTTGGGCGATTTTTTAAATCCGCTAATAGTCTGTAATGCGTTGGTGGCGTGTCAATGTGTATGTTTCTTCCTTTGGCATCGATGTCGTGTTTGAGTTGATTCAGGCATCACAAAGCAGCCAATATTCAAACGAATAAAGATTTAGGCGAGACTGCAGGATTGACAGACATATATTGAAAGAGTTAAAGGACAAGATTCGGTATAGTTGCAGTTCAAACCCAAATCGGCCAATCAGCAGTTGTGCCTGTTTCGTCAAACGCAGTCTAAGGCGCTAATGCAGAATGCAGACTGCCGGCCTGAATAAAATTAAAAATAGAGACAGAAAAAAGGGGTAGGTGTCAACAAACCAACGCGTCGGCGAGAAGAAGTGGTCTGCGAATATACGCGATGTGCGATCTGGGATTGAGAT